AAAGAAAGTGGAGGCGGTGGAGAGCACGCCAAACCAGGATCGAGACTGAAACTGAAGGAAATTTATATTACTTTAAAATTATTTATTATTAAAATTTAAATAAATATTTATCTAGTTATTTTTTTCTCAACACTACTGTTTAAATTTAATCACAATTTATTTTAAATTAACAATAATTTATTTAAATTTTTTTATTTAAATTTTAACAACACCTAATCTTTAATAAATATAAATTTTCTCCAATAATTTTTTAATTACTATTTTTCATTTTTGAATCTTTCAACATGGAGTCACTTTGTTCATACAATTTTTTTGAGATTGGAAATTTAAAGGCAAACATAAAAGTCGACTTTGGGTTTGGGCTGTGCATGTTGGCTCAGCGAATGAGGAAGATGCAAGGTGCTAATTCTTTTCTGCACATTTTGTAACCTTTTCATATTTCTTTTTCCATATTTATGTTATATATATCTACATGATATATTTTTATTTAATTTTGCATCACTAATTTAACCACCAATTTAACCAATTAGACCATGAGAATTATAGATCCTTTTTGATTCACAAACTAGTTTGACTTCTAAAAACATTGTTACAAGACTATTGGCTTATGTGATTGAACCAAAGTATTAAAAATCAGATCAGATCAATTATTAAATTAATTAGAGTACTTATTTAAGAGTTAATGATTAAAAGTCAAAACTATAATTGAACTGTATCAAATAAATTATTTGTTAAAACTAATTAAAACATTAATTTAGTGGTTAACCTGAATTTTCATACTATGAATTAAACAATCTTAGGTTATCCTCAGTCTCTTATATCAATCATATCAAGTAGAGCCTTTCCTTAATAACCCAATTCCAATCTCAACCCCCCAAATCTCACATGCCAAACAGAGTCTAAATTTTAATTCCATAATTCCCAGCCTCCGAACCATGACTTAATTACCTGCTGAGAACAAACACCCCTTTTAACGTCATTCCACCAAGTACTAGCATGCATTTTTTTTTTTTTTTGACATTACTATTGAAGTCGATGTTGTGATGGATCAAGTTATTGCTTCAAGATTCAACTTTTAACCCTATTTTTTTATGAGTTAAGATTATCTATTTTACTTAAGTAATAACATTATTATTGTTGGACAGAAATATTATTGTTAGTTATTTTTAATGAGATCATGAGAAATTAACCTCACATGAGATATGGAAGGCGAAAGGTTAACTAAATTTCTTCTATACATATTTATTTATTTTTGTTGAGAATATTTGGTCAACAAGATGAGGCCATAGGATAGTTTGGAGCTTGCCTTGCGTGAAATAGTTTAAAATTAAAAAAAAAATTGCCATTTTATATTATGAACCATTTGGAGTCGACATCTTATCATCTAACTCTATTCTTGCGTTATAAACTATTTAACAATCAATCACGTAATTGTTTTGTAGCCATATGCCAATACTTATAATTATGTAGCATTATTTTTATTATCAAATTCTTACTTCCTTCTAACCCTGTTCTGCTTCATCAAAATATTGTTAAAAAAAAATTAACACAGTTTTACCCAGATAAACTGAACCACACATCCACTGAATTGGAATACATTCAATCATTATTTTTAACAAAAAAATTATTTTAATTATTCTCTTGATTTTAATTTAATTTTAATAATTTATAAAATTATCATTAGGTCTTTATAATTAAAAAAAAATACTTTTTTGCCGAATGAACTTTTTTTTTAACTTGTTTAAAACTTTTGACAATCAGGTTAGATCTTTTATGAAGTTGCCTGATGATTTTGGTGGGTCATTGATTGACTTTATACACCACGGAAGGGCCAGGGTAATGAATTATTTAATGTGAATTAAATAGTTTTTAATATATTTATAGTGTTTTAATTTTTTAATTTAAAACTGAAATTAGTGTAGAAACTATAAGAAACATAAAACTCCTAAAATTCTGCTATTTTATACACGATCTACATTATTTTTTCCACAAATTAAAAATATTTTTTTGCATTTGCCAGTATAATATTTTGCTACCTACCTTTTTAGTAAAAAATATAAATACTAACTTGAGAAATGAAAATTCAAAAATTGAAAGGATAAAAGAAGCTGACAATTGAGACAAAGAGCTAGCAAGGATGGTGGGTTATACATACATACATACTTACATATATGTATATATGTCTATGGAAGTACAAGGAACATGCAATTTAGCCCTCAGATTTAGAAAGCTCAAAAGCATATGCATAGGCTGTGTCACATTTTCTTTTTCACACACAAATATCATAACACTTGTAAAAGTGGTTAGAGATAATTAAAAATAGGGCAAAGGCATGACTTCTTTTTTTTTTTTTTGGTAAAAGAGTTATTGATATATAGGTTTAAGAAATATGTGCGTCTAAAACCCCTTATAAAAAAAAAAAAAAAGGAAAGACGAGGCTCTGGGAAGGAAAGAAAATATTTTATCATCCCTACAAACATATGTTATTCACTAAAACAGAATAGAAAATGGCTACTTCCTTACTATAAAATTTTTATTTATAAATGAATTAGAAAATAATTCTTCCTTATAAAATAATTACTTTGTATTTAATTGATAAACAAATTTGCAGGAAAGAAGTAGGTATTTTCTATCTCGTATTAATTAAAAACCAACAAAAATGGTCATTCATATTTAATTTTAATCAATAGATAAATCAAAATAGTCATTTTCCAATATATAATAGTATCTATTTTTTAATATTTGAGATTGACTGGTAAATAAAATTTTCAAAAAGAGTAGTTATTTTCTATCTTGTTTTAATCAATGGTCTAACCAAATTATTCATTTATGATTTTCCCAACGCATTATAATCATTGGGAGCAAATATATCATTTCATCAAAAATTAAAATGGCAGACAAATCCTAAAAACTAAATAATAATTATTCATTTATCATATTTCACACGCTACTTAATTATCATTTCATATTTTGGGGTATTTTTTTTTCATTTTCCATTTTAATTAGTTTATCAAAATAATAAAAATCTGATTTTCTAATTATGATCATTTAAAAAAAAAACTAATGGCCCCTTTGTTTCAGTCTTTTTTGAAAAAAGCTTTTTAAAAAAAAATAAAAAAAGAACATTTGAAAATTTAAGCTTATTCATTAATCTTGTAATGTTAATTATCCTACTTTTAAAATAAGTTTTGAAAATTTTGGCAAAAGAAAGTTTTGAAAATATTTTATGCAATATATGAGAGAAAATATTGATAAAAGTACAAAGATAAATGATAAATTAGTAATAATAAATTATTGTTTAAGATTAAGGTGAAAATTTGTTTTAAAGTTAAAGGATAAATTTATGCCTTATTTAAACACAAATAATTTTTATTTTATTCAAAAATTTTAAAATAAATAATCACATTTTAAAAAATTAAAAATAATCTAAAAATAATTTTTTTAATGTTCATACAAATGGGCGTTATAATAAAGATTTTAAAATCTCAAAATTATTTTTAAAGATTTTTTTCACTAAAAAAGTTGAAACAATGGAGCCCTTAAAATTAAGCTATAACATTTAATTTTTCTTAAAATGAAATAACAATTTTGTTATTTAAACATGGAAATGGGATTACGACTTTTTTTTTAAATTTGGTTATATTTTTCATTAACTATTAATAGAAGCGATCCTGTGAAAATAAATAAATAAATAAATAAAAATATTTTTTAGGGTACAAATTAACTTTTAAATTATATATTCATAAATGTTTGAAATTTTAAACTCATTTTTGAAATAATATTCCTCTTCAATTGTTTTTTTTTAAAGTGCAATCTCACCCTTTAAAAAAAATTTAACTCTAACCAATATTTGAATAGAAAAGAAACTCAAATATTATAAAAAAGGATAAAAAAATTTTAGCAAAGGATTCAAAAAAATTTTATTAGTCTTTTTTTAAACTTTTATGATATTTTTTATCATTTTCTGATCAATGGTAAAAATTAATTTTTATTAACTGTAGAAGCTATTTATACTTTTTCCAAATGTTGAAGAAAAATATTATATATAAAAAATAAGTTTAAAATCTTAAAGTTCTCATGCCTGTATTATAAGAACTAATTCCTTTTTTACATGTTTTTTAAGGAAAATGGCTGTGGCTGCTATTACTGTCAATTTCCACTTTGATGAAGCACAGATACTTGAAAGTTGAGAAGACAGTGATGTTTACGGAAGATTCATATTAGATAAAGAGAAAATTAAAAGGGAGGGAAAAAAGGAAAATGGCTGACTGATAACTAATAATACTACGTGCTTACCATTTGCATCATATTTTTCTTCACACACACAGAAATATCCCTTTCTTCTTCCGAAACAAGCAAAACAAGAAGCCCAAGAACTCATTTATATACCCTTTTGGCTTTTCGCTTCCAAACACTTTCTTCTTCTTCCTCTTCCTCCCTCCTCTGTATTAAACCAGACAAGAATGGCCAATTACCCAACTATTCCTCTGTACAATCCTAGTGTCATGAAGAATCTTCACTATTTCATCATCACCACCGTCTTCTGCAGTGTCTTTTACCTTCTTAGCCTCTGGCAGCACTCCCCCCACGTCGGCGTCCGGTCAGCCACCGTCGTCACAGCCCACTCACGCGTCCCCGTTCCCTTCCGTGTCGAGCACAATTCGACCACCTCAATCTCGCCGGCGCCTCTAAATGGCAATCTCGACTTCTCGTCCCGTCATTACCTCCCTGACCCACATTCCACGGCGGCGCGTAGCTTTCATTTCCCTCCTTGCCATGCTTCCTTCTCAGAGTATACTCCTTGTCAGGACGTTGAGAGGTCCCTGAAATTCGACCGTGACAGGCTAATCTACCGGGAAAGGCATTGCCCGGAGAAGGAAGAGGTGTTGAAGTGCCGTATTCCGGCGCCGTTCGGGTACCGTATTCCTTTCCGGTGGCCTGCGTGTCGGGACTTGGCCTGGTACGCCAACGTGCCACACAAGGAGCTGACGATTGAGAAGGCGAAACAGAACTGGATCCGGTTCGAAAAGGACCGGTTCAGGTTCCCGGGTGGTGGGACCATGTTTCCACGTGGCGCCGGAGCGTATATCGACGACATCGGAAAGCTGATCAACCTGAAAGATGGGTCTATCAGAACCGCCATAGACACCGGTTGTGGGGTACGGTATTCTTCTCCTTTCTCGATTCTTAACCAGCGACTACGTGGATTGGATTCTTTAATCGGATTCGTAATTTCATGCATTTCTTTTTCATTTTCTTTTTGGACCGCCCGGTTTTGCTTGTTGAACCGGATGGTTCACCTCTCCCTGTTCTGGGTTAGTTTAACAACTTCCACAGCTGGAATGGACAATTCCACCACTTGCTTTTGTTATTTTTTGTTTGATTCTGAAAATACATTAATTTCTTGATTCATTCTCCTTTCAAATATATATATATATATATTAATTTCCTCTCTGATGTCAAAAAAGTATATATTAATTTCTCTTTCATTTTTTTTTTTTGGGGAATGATTAAGAAGGCGAATGGTATTCTGGGCTGGAACAGATTTCAGATAATCTTGAAAATAAATTACATTTTAAGGTTCCAAATTAAAAAGAAAAACACCTATATTAATAATTTTTAAGTTTGCAATCATCCTAAAAATATTAAAAATGAAAATTTTCGTAATCCTTGAACTACGGCTTTTGTAATAGTTTTGGTCTGAAAAAATTTTAAAATTTCAAATTATTTAGCGTAAATAACTTTTAATTTGAAGTTGTAGATTATATATATTATTTTGCTTTGATGCTTGGAGGGCAGGATCATTTATGAGACTACACAATTTAAGGTAAATCAAGGAAGTGCTTTAAAAGAAAGTTAATTCTAGATTATACCATGCTTACTATAAAAAGAGTGGAAACAAATAAACATGGCAAATCCCATAAATTATTGTATATTTAATGTATTTTCCAATCTTATACGACGTGACTTACACGCACATTTGTGTTTTGAAAACAAAACAAAAATGGAATTATACTAGCTACGAGTGTGAATTGTGATTGAGTTGGCTGTTTTATCCAAAAACTGTGTCCAAATATCCTTTAAATTAAATAATCACAAAGGAATATTATATTTTTCATTAGATACTATGCTTGATCGATCTAGTGACATAATTGGTAGATTAAAGTTTCAACTTTGACATCTAATTAAGTAATTAAAGTAGACCTGATGGTAATATAATATTATATTATATTTTTAGCCGGCATATTTTATTATATTATAGATATAGATATAGATGATGTGCTTTACTTTTTTAATGACATTTGTTGATGAATTAAAAGGCATAGATACATTAACACCCATTAGCATATAGTTCCACATGGAAGTAGCACTGTCTCCTGTTGCATATCACTTTTCAAATGTTAATAATGCGATAAAAGATATTTTTGAGTCAGTTATCCATCAATTGACCTTATATATCTTCTTAGACCATCTTTAAATGCACATTTTATATGGAGTTAATATTTTTTAAAAAAAGAATCTGAAACATCAAGACCTAAAAAAGAACCGAGTTTAAAAGAGAGAGACGTCTCCACACATCACAAACTATAGCATATTAAATTGTGATCTACAATAGTACATGACACTGAAATGGTATAAATGTGCATGACAATTTATAATCTCCTTCAACATATTTTTTTTCTATTTTCTTTTTAAATATATACGATATTTTTATTCGCTAAATGAAAAATGAAGCCACTCTCATGTCACATTCCCATCAACATCATAGAAACTTCACTATTAGGCAGTGTTTTTTTTTTTTTTTGGGGGGGGGGGTTGGTTTTTTTTCCCTCGCATGCCACATAGGACGTCATTTCATTTATGTCCATGACTCTAAATTTCTATATGACAAGTGTTTTACTGGCTAATTCTCAGGTGGCAAGTTGGGGAGCTTACCTTCTATCTCGAGACATTTTAACAGTGTCATTTGCACCAAAAGACACGCATGAAGCCCAGGTTCAATTTGCTCTTGAACGTGGAGTCCCTGCTTTGATTGGAGTTCTTGCCTCAGTGAGACTTCCTTACCCTTCAAGAGCCTTTGACATGGCTCACTGTTCACGTTGCCTCATTCCCTGGGGCCACTATGGTACCCTCCATTTCCTTTTATATATATATATATATATATATATAGCATCGTATAGATACAGTTTTGACCACACTAAACTTTCATCATTGAAGAACTTTGTTGTTGTGAATTGCTTATGGTTTCATAGATGGGATTTACTTAACTGAAGTCGATCGAGTACTGCGTCCCGGTGGCTATTGGATTCTGTCGGGGCCGCCGATCAACTGGGAAAAGCACTGGAAAGGGTGGGAGAGGACTCCTGATAGTCTTAAAGAAGAACAGGATGGGATTGAGGAGGTTGCAAGGAGCCTGTGCTGGAAAAAATTGGTACAGAAGGATGATCTCGCAATATGGCAGAAACCCAAAAACCATGTACATTGCAAGAATACCAAAAAGGTCATCCAGAATCGACCATTCTGTGAGGCACAGGATCCAGACACAACATGGTAATTTCACACTTTCTAGGTTTACTATTAAACAAATGCCTGATTGTCAGAAGAAATGTGATGGCCTATATTAATACCATTGGGCTCAAAACTCTGACTTAGTGTGGCTGCTCTTATTGTCAGTTTCCACAATGAAGAAGTAAAGATACTAGAGAAGATAGTGATATTCATGGAAGATTCATATTAGATAAGGAGAATCTAAAAGCAATAAAAAAAAGCATGTGATTCTTGCCGCGAGAGAGGGTTTAGCATGGCCAGTGATACCAAAATCAGTAGGATAATGAAGACAGCAGTCAGTATCAACTCACCATAAGTTTCTTATGCATATTCTGCCTTGTCAGATACTCCATTCCATTAGGTTCCTCAATATCCAGAACAAAGCAGTTTAAGATTCTTATTGGGGGCCTACAAATGAATATCTGTATCTGTTCTTTTTCTTTTCTTTTTTGTTAATCTTTCTGAAGGTCTGATAGTTACTACCAATTTATTGCAGGAACACTAAAATGGAGACTTGCTTGACCCCACTACCTGAGGTAACTGACATCCAGGAGGTTAGCGGTGGGAAATTGGCCAAATGGCCTGAAAGGCTCACTTCAGTCCCTCCAAGAATTACAAGAGGAAGTTTGAATGGAATCACCGCAGAGATCTTCAGAGAAAATACAGAGTTATGGAAAAAGAGAGCGGCACACTACAAGGCCATGGATTATCAGCTAGCAGAGCGTGGGAGGCACAGAAACCTGCTTGATATGAATTCTTACTTGGGAGGTTTTGCAGCTGCTTTAGCTGATGATCCTGTGTGGGTCATGAACATTGTCCCTGTGGAGGCTGAGATCAACACCCTAGGAGTTATCTACGAACGTGGATTGATTGGTACCTATCAAAACTGGTAAGCCTCGTTTCTGGAGAAAAAAATTGCAGGTGGACTCTATTTACGGAAAATAATTAGACGCGGCAAATTATGAACACATAAGAACGTGTCAGAAAGTTAGGAACATATTAGTGTGTTTATGTTATCATCATTGATTAATTTATTCTACATATAAAAGCTAAGTGGGAAATCAAGGCATGCAACATTGGGTGAAAACTGAAAAGGGGATTCCTGTTTGCCTATCTAACAAGTAGTTGCATCTTTCTTGAATCATATATAGAACTTAACATAGGCAAGGGCTTTCTACCAAATTGCAGCTTTATGGCGGAAAAGAGTCTACATTTTTTTTAATAAAAAAACGGTTTTAAATAAATAGGCACACAATCAAGGTTTGTCCTCTATCAAATTTCCTTAGCATGGAAGTACAACTCACCAATAACAACGTTTCTCTGCACTCAGGTGTGAAGCCATGTCCACCTACCCAAGAACTTATGACTTCATACATGGTGATTCAGTTTTCAGCCTCTACCAGAACAGGTAAATGTCAAGAGTAAACTCAGCTCACCCATTTCAAAGTGAAAATAGAAATCCAGATTGTGAAACCTTATGGGTATTCTAATTACATCTAACAATGTGCCGCAGATGCAATATGGAGGATATTCTTCTAGAAATGGACAGGATTTTGAGGCCAAGAGGCAGTGTCATTCTGCGTGACGATGTGGATGTGTTGATAAAGGTGAAGAACATTGCAGATGCAATGCAGTGGGAAACCAGAATTGCAAACCACGAAGAGGGTCCACACCACAGAGAAAAGATACTATTAGCAGTCAAGCAGTATTGGACTGCACCACCTGAACAAAGCAAGAAGCTAGTTTGATCCATCTCTTCACCCAGATTTTTTCTAATTTTCTTAGGAAATTCCATTCTTTTCCAAACCCAATTCTGTGGGTGCAAAGTGAACATGCATACAAAACAATTAAGTCATAAATTCAAGCTGCTGAAATTACAATCATCACCACTTCGTCCAGAAATTATACCAACCTCCCTTGTGTTGATTTTTTATCAGGCAAATAACTCTCGTTTTCTTTTCAATACACAAGAAACTCTTTACAGCCTTTCATATAGTTGGAGAATAAAAGGCAAGAGTGTGCTTGATTTGATCGACTAGAAGAACACTTGATTCGCGTAGTACGTAGTCCCAGTCTCACTTGGATCGCTTCGAACAACATGGTTCACCTGACAGTTCCAGAATGTAAAACTATGACGTTTTTAATTCTATTGATTGTCCTCTTTTCTTTCGAATTTCAAAAGAACAATAAGGGGAAAGAAATAGTTTTAAACCAAAATGCATGATTTGATGTATTAACTAGAAAAATAATAGGTTCGTCAAAAACATATTTTATACTCAAAAGTAAAAGAAATGCTTCTTAAAATTTGTTAATACCCAAATTGGCATTCGAATTAGGGCAGGGGAAGACTATCTCTGGATTAAAAATATGCACAACCCTTCTGTTAGGTTAATACCATCTTTCCGATAACTATTATCTACACAGACGCGAATACTTACAGGAACACATTTATCTAAAGTAATTCCAGAAACAATGCTTCATGCCTGCTGGTCAGGCCTACTTCACTCAAGGTAAATGAGCTATCATCCATACTGAAAGCTTGTCGGGGGTATGACTTCACCTATTCACCAAATATACAAGAAATGATTATTTGGTTATTTATACATCTCAAACACAAACGCATCCAATGATATGAATAAAAATAATTTCCTTCACAAATTCAAATACCCATTCAAACCAATTATATCACATATAGAAGCTCAAAAACATTGATTTTAAATGCCATTTCTGCACCTTTTCTGTCAGCTTTCCAACAAATAATTACAACTGTCACTGGAATGATTCTATGATATGTTTATTAGAAAGGTTTAGACTTGGGTGAATTTCTTTATGCATTTACTATTAGAAAGCTTTTAGAAACTTTTTTTACTTTCGGCCAAAATTTAGAAACCTAATCATATAATGCAAAGACCAAAAAAAAAAAACCCACTTGTACAGAAAATGAGATTTATCTCAAACCACTCGAATTAAGTCCAATCAAGTATTAAGCAAATAATAACCTTCAGGTATGCTACCCTAAACCCTAGTTTTTAAAATGTTGAAATATGAGACTGATAGAGCGCATGATTTTATGAAGACCTCTAAGAGGAAATCAAGGAAGGCAATGAGCTTGGAGATAACATTATTGCTGGTTCAGATGTTCACCCTCTGGATCCTGGTTATAAGGGAAAGTAATTGATGGCCTAGTGATGTATTAAAGTCCTAGTGATGTTTTAGAGTCTTCTAGGGGTAAGGGCTGTGTTAGAGTCACTTTTTGGGTCTTTAAATCTTCCTCGTTGCCTAGGGAGAGGGGTGTGGAGTATTTTGAATATTGAGAGTGGTGAGGAGAGTTGTGGCCTCTCAAAAGTCCAGTGCATTGGGGTGGAGGAAGTCATCTTTCTTCATCATTTTACCTTCTGCTCAGTGTGTGTTTGTGAGTGAGTGATTTATATTTTGTGTTGTTGTTTGGTGGAGTGAATTCGGCGCTGTTTCATCTACTTTCAGTTCCTTATTTTGCTTGTAATCCAACTGCTATTATTTTCAGTCCCATTTGTAGTGTATTTTTCTGGTTGTGCCTTTTTAAAGCTTATTAGAGTAGAGGGTTCCATCAGAGACCTTGTGTTTGTGTTGAGAAAAATGACTCTTCTATTTATGACATCTTTTCAAGACAGGAATAGTTTTTGCCTAATGTCAAATGTGGATGATAATGACCTCCACAAAAAATTGAGGACGCAAGCATTCCCGGTGTACACACACACACACACAGACATCTCTTTCTCTGTGTGTAAGGCAGAAGTGAATCATTCAGACACTTTATGTGAAATGCCACGAGAAATATTTCACAGCTAAAAAACTTCTATAGTTACCCAGTTGCAGGAAACCATGCCATATTAAACTTCAAAGGAGGTTCAATCCAGAAAATCAGACGAGAAAAAAAGGAACACTTACAATTCTATAGGTGCCAGGCTTCAGTTCTCCACCGATTTCTATGAAATCAAAAATAAGCTACATGGTTGCACAACCACAGTTTGTTAGCCATGCATGCCTAATACACAGCAATGTACAATAAATGCATTAATCTACAAAAGTCTTCCTCTGACATGCTCATCACACCTTACCTCATATGATCGTTATCAGAAAATCCACAAGGTAAGTAGAGAGAACCCAAACTTGAACTTTTTCCCCAAATGGGTCAAATTTGAAAATAAATGAGCAATTATTTTCCTCCAAATTAAGAAGGAAAATAAATAGTTCCATTTATGCATTTGTGACAAAGGATATTTTCAAGCGAAATCTTTTGGATAAAGGAATTTGGGATTCTCAGGGAAGTGCTAACATCATATGGGAGGATATGGCTAAAAAGATACGGGAGGTTGCAAAAGTAGTTTTGGGAGAATCGAAAGGTTTTGGTCCGAGAGATAAGGAGTCTTGGTGGTGGAATAATAGTGTACAGGACAAAATCAAGTATAAGAAGAACTGTTTTAAAGCCATACATTTGTGTAACAATGAGGAAAATTGGGAGAGGTACCGTATGGCTAAGAAGGAAACTAAGAGAGCTGTGGGTGAAGCTCGTTCTAAAGCTTTTGAAGAATTTTATAAGAACCTTGAGACGAAGGAAGGAGAGCAAAATATTTATAAGATTGCCAAGAGTAGGGAAAGAAAATCAAGAGATCTAGAACAGGTAAGGTGTATTAAGGATGAAGAGGGAAGAATTTTAGTTACAGATGATGAAATTAAAAATAGATGGGAGACTTATTTTTCTAAACTTTTCAATGATGGAGAGGATTCATCTAGTAACTTGGAGGATTTAGTAACTGGTGAAGGAGAACAAAATTTGTCATTCTATCGAAAAATACGTGATAAGGAGGTAAAGGAAGCTCTTAAGAAAATGGCAAATGGTAGAGCTAACGGACCTGATTGTATATCTATCGAAGCGTGGAAATGTTTAGGTGAAGAAGGGGTGAGATGGTTAACTAAGTTATTTAATGTGATTTTACGGTCCAAGAAAATGCCTGATGAGTGGAGGAGAAGTACATTAATTCCTATTTATAAAAATAAAGGAGATATTCAGAATTGTACTAACTATAGAGGGATTAAACTCATGAGCCACACAATGAAATTGTGGGAGAAAGTAATTGAGCACAGGTTGAGATTGGAGACAAGTATTTCTGAGAATCAATTTGGTTTTATGCCAGGTAGATCAACTACAGAGGCGATTTATCTACTAAGGGGATTAATGGAAAAGTATCGTTGTAAAGATAAAGATCTACACATGGTTTTTATTGATTTGGAAAAAGCTTATGACCGTATACCAAGAGAAGTGCTTTGGAAAGCGTTGGAAAAAAAGGGAGTACGGATTACTTATATTAAAGCCATACAAGATATGTATGAGGGGGTAAAAACTAGTATAAGAACGCCTAGTGGTCAAACAAAGGATTTTCCTATAAAGATTGGGCTACATCAGGGATCATCTCTGAGTCCTTATTTGTTCAACTTGATTTTAAATGTTTTGACGGAACATATTCAAGAGGAAATCCCGAAATGTATGCTCTTCGCGGATGATATAGTTCTTATAGCAGAGACAAGAGAAGAGGTGAATTGCAAACTTGAGTTATGGAGGAGGACATTGGAGTCGAAAGGTTTTCGTCTGAGTAGAAGTAAGACGGAATATTTATATTATAAATTTGATAAAGGACTATTCGAAAATAATTTGGAAGTGAAATTGGGAGATCAAATTATACCTCAAGTAGAAAAGTTTAGATATTTGGGAGCCATTATCCAAAATGATGGCGAAATCAGTGGAGATATTTCACATAGAATTCAAGCTGGGTGGTTTAATTGGAGAAAAGCTAAAGGAGTTATTTGTGACCGTAAGGTGCCTAATAAACTTAAAGGAAAGTTTTATCGTACTGCTATCAGACCGGCAATGTTATATAGTAGTGAATGCTGGGCTCTAACGGGACAGCAAGAGCATAAAGTTGGAGTAGCAGAGATGAGAATGTTACGATGGATGTGCGGACATACACGTAAAGATAAAATTCGAAATGAGCACATACGTGAAAAAGTGAGGGTGGCACCTATTGAGGAAAAAATGGTAGAAAATCGATTGAGATGGTTTGGGCATGTACAAAGAAGACCAAGGGAGGCACCAGTGAGAAGAGTGGAACATATAACTTTGAGTCCGATTAAGAGAGGTAGAGGAAGGCCTAAGAGAACACTCTTGGAAGTTGTTGAACGTGATCTCTTAATTAATAATATTTCTAAAAGCTTAATAAATGATAGAGCACAATGGCGTCTTGCAATCCATATAGCCGACCCCACCTAGTGGGATAAAGGCTTGTTGTTGTTGTTGTTGTTGTATGCATTTGTGACAAAGTGAGAATGTCAAATAGGACAAGCTATCAATAGGAGTTATAATTTTTATATATGAACCTATTTCAATAGTTGATCTCATTCATCATTAAAGATGATTTGGATTATAATGAACATCAACTCTACAGCTTTGAAATTCTAATGCAAGTTTACCTTAAGCTTGTCAGTCTTGAGAAATCGATGTCCACGCCGGCTACCATCTGGCATTCGGATGACAATAGTAATTGCATTCTTATCATCTATGGGGGGTTCCTCAGGAAGAAAAGTTTCTTTCTTAAGGAACATTTTCTCCTCCTGTAACCATAAAAGGGGTACATGACTTGAAAATTTAATAGTTTCATATATTTCAATATTATAATTTATAAAGAACAAAACCACCTGAGGTGATATTCACCAA